TATGGTCTGTTCTTTGCGACATTGTTATGATGTAGTCCAGTGTTGTTTTTTTTTTATTATGATGTAGTCCAGTGTTAGTACTGTAGTGGATTTCTCCCCTACAAACGCTGTTTGTCGCTGAGTAGCCGACCCCACCAATTCCCCAGTGTATGCCTCGTGGTCTAGGTCAACCAGCGCCGCCATACATCACCCGCCATACATCACGGAGCGGGGGTCAACTACTAAGCCACGCCTACCCCCCGCTATTTAAGACCTGACCTCGTGGTGACCTGTCTCTTTCTACCTACACCAACCAGCCAGCAACACCTCCTCCTCCGCCTGCCTGGCGGTCCTCGCTCCCGCCGGCGAGCATGGCGACCCACAACATAAGAACATAAGAAAATAAGGAGTCTGCAATAGGCCGGTTGGCCTGTGCATGGCAGCTCCTGTCGAGAGTTACTACCACTCTCTATCATCCATGAATCTATCTAGCCTCCTTTTGAAACTTTCCAGAGTTCCCGCACTTACTACAAAGTTGCTAAGCTTGTTCCACTCGTCCACCACCCTATTTGTGAACCAGTTTCTTCCTATCTCCCTCCTAAACCTAAACTTATCCAACTTGAATCCGTTGCTCCGAGTCCTATCCTGCTCGGATATTATAAGAACTTTATCTATATCCCCTTTATTGATTCCTTTCACCCACTTAAATACTTCTATCATATCTCCCCGCACTCTTCGTCTTTCTAGGGAATGCAAGTTAAGTTTCTTTAACCTATCCTGATATGGAAGGTTCCTAAGTCCCGGAATCATTTTTGTCATTCTTCGCTGCACCGACTCTAGTGAATTTATATCCATTCTATAATAGGGGCACTAGAACTGAACCGCATAATCGAGGTGCGGCCTGACTAGCATCCTCACCAACCAGCTCTCTCTACATCGCGCTTGTAACCATGCTGCCTTCCCAGCACCAAGCTGCATTGTACATCCAATACAACATGTATATAGAGAGCACATTGTGAGTTTCCTTTCTCCATCCCATCCTGAGTGTGAACACAAACATCCAATAACCCCCACAGTACAACCAGAGTGTCCGGAGGAAACCTGTGATGTATGGTAGGGGGTCACACTGGTTAACCCGTGGCATAATGGTGACACTTCCACGCTTTACCACTGTACAGCACCACCATTTATCTATTTATTTGGAGGAATTCATCACACGCACAGTCTAAGAAACGATTACATTCCCAGCTTAGGCCGATGAGTATGAAACCTGGCGGATTACCTACCTTCCTTCCTACCTACCTACCTCATTTACCTTACGGCCACCCACTTGATGGAAGGAGGCATGTGACCTGTGTAGGATCCCTGCAGTGTTGGTATGCCTGACTCATCAAGTTGAGTTCACTAACTTACTCCCGCCAGCCATTTACCAGAGACCTTCAAACTCTTGCAACACCAGTCAGCAAAAAAACCATGACTGGACATAATATCTTAACTGTTGCTTTTACTGGTCAAGGGAGACGATCCATTGCGACTGTCAGGTGTGATGTGAACCAAAAGTGCAGGTCGACATTTCAGGGTCTGTAACACCTCTGATGAGAAATTTGTTTACCCGTGATCATACTGTAATTGACAAAAACATCTGATAATTTTTAAAACTTAATCGGCGATTATCCACATACAAAATGTGTCTCTACTTATACCAGTCAAAAGTTATATGTTGGCAAGACAACATCACATAACTTTTAACTTTACTTCTAATATTGTACAGTACTTCTCTGACACTTAGTACTGTACTCACAAGGATATGGCAGCAACTTCGGAGGGGAACAGTCCTGAGAAAATCATGGAGAAAAAACGTTTGAAACTTTCCATACATCACGGGGCATATATGCCCATGGTAAGGCAAGGAATTATGGGTCATTTCACGGCAGCGTCGACTTGATTGACTAAAGTCAGTCCCAGCTGACATTCTATAGTTTTATTCTAATATAACTCTGGGTGGTGGCAGGCTACAGTTGTAAGTATAATAAGTGTTATAGTAAGAATGACATGGATTCCCAGATATAATTGAAAGAAAGTAAGGACATAAAATTCAGAAGGAATAAAGTAGAGAAAAGAATATTGACTTAGAAAATATAAGCAAAGAAATATAAGATAGATACTTATAGAGAGAAAGACTTAGACTATAAAATTATTAATATACACAAGAAAAGATTAACAGAAAATATAGATATGAAACAAGTATATAAGTATTGAATAATAAAAAGAATAAATATGAAATGTGAAAAAAGAGCACCTTATACTATCACCTGATCAGTGCATGTATAGTACACTGAGACTAGTGAACCACTTTTCATGGCCAATACAGTTGTTCTCCAGCAGTTCACGGCAGAGGAAGAGCGGCTACCTGACGTATAAACAGTCTAACACATTGCTGTATAATGATAAACAGTGTATATCTCTACCTGTGTTCAGACTCAAAATACAGATTTATAGACATAAGACATAAAACTTTGCTGAAGTATAACGCCAAAGATAACAGGATGATATTTATGTCCAGGTAAATGACATTACTAAGACTGAGAGAAAAATTTACATATTGTATAATTAATAAAGTAAGAATTTGTGTTTGGATGTACTGATGTGCTGAGGGTGTAGAGGGTCAAATGTCTACACTAAAGACCTAATATAAAGATGTATCACGTATCCAGACACGCCCAATGTTTTCCTACACCAAGAATAACACACTGAGACAAGAACAGAGAACAACAATCTCAACAACACCAGCAGCTGTGACTCATTCCCCCGAAGTGACAAAAGCAAAAACGTGTACCTTGCCTATACCTGCTGCCATATGGCATCACGAAAATTGTGACCAAGTCCCAGGTTGCTGATCTGACTTTCTGCCTCATTTACACACAATTGTAGGGTCTCAATTGTTTCACTTACATGACAACACAACATACATATAGCGTGTCTCACTATTGATTTTTTTTTAATTCTTGTATTTCTTTGTATATATTATTATTATTATCATCACAGTGTTGTTATTATTATTATTACCATTAATATTTTATTTTACTTTTTATTACATATTTTATTTACTATGAATTATTATTATTATTACATTTTAGCCCCCCGGGCCCCGATGTGGGTCAGTCACCTATGCCCGGGTGGGCTAATCCCCGTAAAAGCAAAACAAAAACGTACAGACAAGACCAACTGAACTACTTACGTAAGGCAGGTGTACCCAAACTCCCAGAGACACTAGATACACCCATCCCCTGTATGGTTCTGTCTGCTTTAAGTGGTTAGAATGTATTGTATTATTGTATTGTATTGTTTAAACTTCTAGATACATTGAAGAAGGTTTTGGGGAATGGGTCACTTGATTTACAAATAATATACAAGTCACATAAGTGATACAAATATGATATATAATAACTAGGTGGGGAGAAGGTCATACTACACGGCATTTAATCATAGTGACAGTGCAAAAAGTAAGATTGACTGGGAGTGAATACACTGGTTGATTACAAGTTATTGATAATTTTTACAATGGTTGGGACTGGGCTGTTCTTATAGCGATCAGTTCGTGCTCGTATGGGCTGGGTGCAACGTGTGTGTGTGTGTGTGTGTGTGCAAAAACTAAACGAGTTAGAATGACCTCAATATAACCCCCCTAAATATACCTAGAATCAGATCGCATGTCAGAGAATGACGAGAGATGATGGCAGAGGTTTAGTTGTGTGAATATAAAGTAGAGATATATATTTTAATACTATCCTCGCCTGTTTCACTATTCTCACCTGCTTCACTATCCTAACCTGCTTCACTATCCTCGCCTGTTTCACTATTCTCACCTGCTTCACTATCCTAACCTGCTTCACTATCCTCGCCTGTTTCACTATTCTCACCTGCTTCACTATCCTAACCTGCTTCACTATCCTCACCTGTTTCACTATTCTCACCTGCTTCACTATCCTAACCTGCTTCACTATCCTCGCCTGTTTCACTATTCTCACCTGCTTCACTATCCTAACCTGCTTCACTATCCTCGCCTGAATCAAGATAATCAAATCAAATACAACATTAAGTACAGTAAGTGTTCTAGGAAAAAAACACAAAAAACACTGAGAATCAAAACACTGAATTATTGATTGCTAAAATTTGCTACAGAGAAAAACCCCCATAGATAAGTGAAGCATAGAACATATTAAAAAAAATTATACAGAAAGATAAGTTACTGTAGTTTGTTACATATCAGCAGAGCATTACAGACAGTATAGTAGTGGATTGGTCTGGCAGGTATTAATATGTACTGTACATATGGGCCTTCCACCGCCCGCTTGCTGTATCGTGGTCAAACTCTCCCTGACTCAAATATCTTGCGAATGTGCCGGTTTCCGTAGCTCCCGTTATATTAAGAGAGAAGAAAGATAAACAAATATATATATATTACTTGAAATAAAATATAGAAAGCTGAGATACTTGGGAGGTGGTTATGTGAGAGAAGTGCGCGCGCAGGTCAGAGTTATAGGTCTCGGCCTCCCTAGCTTCCAATGGTGAACAGTTTTCTCAAGACCAGCGTGTGTGTGTGTGTGTGTCTGTGTGGTGGAGAATTAGAGATATCGTCAGTCTATGCATTTGGTGACCCTCAAGTATTCGAGTGTCAAGGTATAGTTTAAGTGTGGAATTATGTGCTGTAAAGCCGGTATTATTATTATCATCGGTTAATTTTGAGTTTAATTAAAAGTGTTTATGTGGAAAATTGATAAACGCACATATGAATGATGATGAAATTGGCGTCTTGAATTAATGTACCTTGTAGTTTATTGTGCACCCCATACTTATCCTTTGAGAGGTAGCGCAAAAGGGTGTGTTGTGTTGTGTTGTGTTGTGTTGTGTTGTGTTGTGTTGTGTTGGGGATGTGATGTGTTGTGATATTGAGTGTTGTGTTTGTGTTGTGTTGTGTTGTGTTGGGGATGTGATATGTTGTGATACTGAGTGTTGTGTTTGTGTTGTAAGTATTGGCGATAAGTAGAGGTATTGTGTTCCATAAGTGAGTCAGTTCTTCTCGCCAACACTGTATTGTTTCGTAATAGCAAGTGACCAGCCAAAGGTTAAGTGAGATTATTACTGTCTCTTCTTTTCTCATTTCTCTCTCTATCTCTCTATTCATCTTTTCTTCTCTCTATTTACTGTCTATCAATGTATTAAATCTATCTTTTTTACTTTTTCTCACTCTCTTCCTCCTTCCTACCTACCCTCCTTTCTACCCTCCCTCCACCTCCCTTCCTCATTCTTCTAACCCTCCCTACACCCCCCCCCCTTCCCCCTACCATCCCTCCCCCTTCCCATTCACGGTCACTCACGCCTACTGTAACAACCTAACCACTAGCCTCCATCCTCCCTATAACGTCACAACCACCACCACCACTACCACCACTACGAACAGTACACACACACACTCATAGATTGACCGTAGCAGAGACAGATACTTAATTGTACACCTTTACCTAGCCACTTCCTACACACCATTCCCCCTCCCCTACCCATCACCAGACTCCCTACTCCTTATAGATGCAGTGACCTAAATACGAGTGCTCTTCAACTTTCCCGCGCTCCCATACAACCAGACAGGATCCCGGACGAAAGAGAAAACGTAAAAAGAATGAGGAAATGGGTTTAAATAGGACGATGGTGATGAAGTAACTGTGATAGTGATGGTGAGGTGTTTTTGGTGTGTTGTGATGACGATAGGGATAAGGGATGGTGATGATAAAGGTCGATTAGTGGTGTTTGTTATTATTACTACTACTACTACAACTATTATTATTATTAGTATGTTTATGTTTATTAATGAAACAAGGAAAACGGATCACAAGGAAAGGTAAATACAACAAGAAAGCGTTAAGAGGAGCTCAACAAGGAAGAGAGGAGGAGGTAGAAGAGGAGGAGGAGGTAGAAGAGGAGGAGGAGGTAGAAGAGGAGGAGGAGGTAGAAGAGGGAGGAGTAGGTAGCAGAGGAGGAGGAGGTAGAAGAGGAGGAGGGAGGTAGAAGAGGAGGAGGAGGTAGAAAGGAGGAGGAGAAGAAGAGGATGAGGAGGAAGAAGAGGAGAAGGAAGAAGAAAAGGGGAGGAGGAGGAGGAGGAGGAAGAAGAAAAGGGGAGAATGAGGAGGAAGAAGAGGAGAAGGAAGAAGAAAAGGGGAGGAGGAGGAGGAGGAGGAAGAAGAAAAGGGGAGGATGAGGAGGAAGAAGAGGAGGAGGAGGAGGTGGAGTCATTGTTCATATTAATGTAAACTTTCTTCACGTACCATTTACTACGGAGAGAGAGTTAACTCGTATTCCACCTAAAGATTTAGACAACGCAGATTAATTCACCTGATGAATGAACACACTAACCTAACCTAACCTAACCTAACCTAACCTAACCTAACCTAACCAAAACTAACCTAACCTAACCTAACCTAACCTAACCTAACCTAACCTAACCTAACCTAACCTAACCTAACCTAACCAAACCTAACCAAACCTAACCAAACCTACCCTACATCCCCTCCTCTAGTTAGCGTTGAGGTGTCTAATCATCAGGTGAACTCAACTGGAATATAAATAAAAACCAACAGACGAATAATGAATACAATGGTGAAATGTTAAATGAGCAAATCGGCCCAAATAGATTATTCTAGGTCAAATGCTGGCTGTAGCCTCAGTACTGAAGAGCTACTCGGTCACCACTCTGAAAGGTTAATCTGGTCAACTGGTGATTCGCGTTGTTGTGTTAAGCAGGATTTAAGCCCATGAATCTAGGCTCACTTTACCTAGAGAGAGAGTCTCAAGAAACTACACCCTCCTCATTCCTGCTTAGCCAAAACAACTTTCTTTTTTTTCCCTCTATTTCTTGACAGGTTAATGCATCGGTTCCTCTTTACTTGTTAGTGAAATTGTCTATGTTTATAAATAGATAGATATATGGATATACAGACAGTGATTTATAGATATAGACAGGTAGATAGATGGACAGATATATTAGACAGGTAAATGAATGGATTGATATTGTTTTAAATCTTCTTTCGTGAAACCAATATAACTCTCAAGGAATATTTCTCACCCCTAGGACGATGAAGTGGTGTGTATTGCTGACGGTGGTCCTGTTGGGGTATGCCAGGGGGTCCTACGTGATCGTGAAGGATATCGGGGTTCCTGTATTGAGGACCCCAGATAGCCGATTCTCTCATCTGGCCCAGCTTGGGTATCCCTGGGCCCCTAAGTACCTCTATTTGAAAATGAGCGGCCTGACTTCTTCCCTTAGGGTGCACTATATCGACGAAGGTGAGAGAGAGAGAGAGAGAGAGAGAGAGAGAGAGAGAGAGAGAGAGAGAGTAGGGGAGAAAGTGTACAGGTAGGCTAATTAGGGTACAGGTGACCGTGTAGGATGAGGTACACGTAGGAGCAGCGAGAGAGATGTTGAGAAATATTAAATAAATCAAGAGTGAGAAACAATATATGTATGTTGTGTTGTCAAAGTAAAAGAAACAATTGAGACCCTGCAATTGTGTGTAAATGAGGCAGAAAGTCAGATCAGCAACCTGGGACTTGGTCATAATTTTCGTGATGCCATATGGCAGCAGGGTCTACCATTAGACAATACATTATGCTCCCAATATCTTCCCAGGCGGTAGTACCTCCCTGTTTGGTAGCTGCCTACTACCTACTACCTCCAGACTATTGTTAGGAAAAGTATACACACACCTCTGTACACCTGGCAGGGAGCAATGGTAACATGATGATAGTGGAGTGCTCAAATGTTCTGATGTGTGGTGAAAATGCGCGGGAATCACATTGAGAACCACGGAGAGTCTCATTCCCCAGCTCCACACCCTGGGACACTCATTCCTCTCACTCCGCAGCTCCACACCCTGGGACACTCATTCCTCTCACTCCCCAGCTCCACACCCTGGGACACTCATTCCTCTCTCTCCCCAGCTCCACACCGTGGGACACTCACCCCTCTCTCTCCCCAGCACCACACCCTGGGACACTCACCCCTCTCTCTCCCCAGCACCACACCCTGGGACACTCACCCCTCTCTCTCCCCAGCTCCACACCATGGGACACTCACCCCTCTCTCTCCCCCACCCCCCCTGGACACTCACCCCTCTCATTCCCCAGCACCACACCTGGAACACTCACCCCTCTCTCTCCCCAGGTCCACACCCTGGGACACTCACCCCTCTCACTCCCCAGCACCACACCCTGGAACACTCACCCCTCTCTCTCCCCAGGTCCACACCCTGGGACACTCACCCCTCTCACTCCCCAGCACCACACCCTGGGACACTCACCCCTCTCATTCCCCAGCACCACACCCTGGAACACTCACCCCTCTCTCTCCCCAGGTCCACACGACGCCAAGGAGACGCTTCTGCTCCTCCACGGCGTCCCGTCCTGGTCCTTCCTTTACCGCACAATGATCCCCGTCTTCCTGGCCGCCGGGTACCGAGTTGTCGCCGTCGACCAAATAGGGTTTGGACGCTCAGACAAACTGACGGACCCAAACGATTACTCTCATACACTGCAGACGTCGACGGTTGAGCTGGTGGTGAGCTCCCTCAACTTACAGGTGAATACAGCCGAATTAACGTGATCTTGAGGCTTTTATTGTTGATGTAAAGTACCGTAGTATTTTATTCTTGTGTTCTGTGTTAGGCCTACACGGTTGAGCTGAAGTGCAGTTTAGGTCTAATTTAATTTACATCCAAGTTTAGATTAGGTTAGGCTGAAACTAAGAGTTCCTTAGTTTGCATGTCCCGAAATGACCTGTAACCCTGATACCCACAAGAAGAGAGGAAAGCTGAACAGCCTGCCATGGAAACGAGAAGGATGACAAGTGTTAACTTCATCAGGGCACATTAATGGCAGGTTTAGTTCTAAGTTATTTATTATGAGGAAAATTACACAATAAATGACGTGGCTGTTATGTTACAGGGCGTGACGGTGGTGATGCAAGACCTGGGTGGCCCTACAGGCATGAGTGCAGTGATTCGAGACCCTGGCAGGTATCGTCGTCTGGTTTTCATCAACACGCTGATCCCCCAAGGTGATATTCTCGACTCCATTTTCTCCGTCAAAAGTTACTCCCCTATGCTCCTTTGGCGGGCGCTTAACACAGTGGTGGGACGTAACGTGCCAGTCGGGGGCGTCTTCAAGATAGCGTCTGACGCTCCCGAAGACGCCATTATAGGAGGCTACGTGGCCCCTTTCCCTTCAAATCTGTATAAAGTCGGGGCCTCGTGGTGGCCTAACGTGATACCCTTGGTGGAAGATGACCCGGTGGCTATTGAGATGCAGAAAGTTGCGGCGTTCTTGAAGCAATGGAAGAACCCGGTCTTGTTGGGCTACAGCGACCGGGAGGTGTTTACAATACCGGGAAGAACAGCTCTAAAGCGTATCCTTCCCGGGGCGTGTGAGGTCACTATTCCAGACGCTGGCCACTATCTGCAGGAGGACCAAGGACCTGCCGTAGCCAAGATGATTGTATCCTTCATAAAGCAAGATTGTGGACCGGACCTACATCACCTACAACCTTCCAACTTTGGTCTCGCTGGGTTATTGGCGTTCGGTTAAGTGTTGTAAGTGACATCCACAACCCAGGAGTTGTGGATAATGTTATTTATTTATTATTGTATTTATGTTCATTTAATTGAAAAGGAGAAATACGTGAAACTCAAGGAATTACATAACACTGAAAGATTTAATTCATCATAATTATGAGGGTTAAGTCATCATAGTCAGAGGGTTAAGTCATCATAGTCAAGGGGCTAAGTCATCATAATCAGGGGTTAAGTCATCATTGTCAGAGAATTAAGTCATCATGATCAGAGGGTTAAGTCATCATAATCAGTGTGGTCTTATCAAACATCACAGGGTTTCTACAAGTACTCCCGGTTCTCTCTCTAACACAGACCAGACACTCGAACGGCTAATAGTGAAAGGGTAAATTGCCATACAAGTTTACACCAATTTAGAATATTTATATAGACAATGTTGCCATACAAACAATTTAACAATAGCAAACAATAAGTCAATTCAACCATAGGAAGCCGTCATAAGAGTTAATTTCGCCCGATACAGTTACTGTGATGTCCAACAAGTGGGTAAAGACTTTTTTTACGGGAATAGCCCACCCGCGTACAGAACATCGAGCCACAAAGGGGCTAATGAAATTAAAAATAGGAGAGAAAACTAGCTTTTTGAAATGAGACAGATTGTATGAGTATGGAAACACAGAAGAAGGCAGAGCATTCCACAGTTTGGCAGTGTGAGGAAAGAAGGATGCAATATAACGGGTTATTCTAGTGTGACCGACATCCACAGAGAAATGGTGGGGACCGCGGGCAAGACGTGTGTTACGAGCCCACGGCCTTGATATACAGGCCTAATACTTTCCTTCAAAATATTCATACAACAATAAGTAAAAATATATAATGAAAGACATGTGTATAAATCAATAATAAAGTTTCCCATCGTTCTTTTACACGTTTTCTGTTATTTTACCACAGAAAATAAAACTTTTGGGAGTAACTATGTAAGTTTTGGTAACGCATTTCAAAGACAAAAACAAGTTAAAAACCACAAGAAACATAAACTATTTAGCTAAGGCTGTCAGTACTAGGTGTTGGGATGGCGTGATAAAGGATGTCTGTACTAGGTGTTGGGATGGCGTGATAAAGGGTGTCTGTACTAGGTGGTGGGATGGCGTGATAAAGGGTGTCTGTACTAGGTGTTGGGATGGCGTGATAAAGGGTGTCTGTACTAGGTGTTGGGATGGCGTGATAAAGGATGTCTGTACTAGGTATTGGGATGGCGTGATAAAGGGTGTCAGTACTAGGTGTTGGGATGGCGTGATAAAGGGTGTCTGTACTAGGTGTTGGGATGGCGTGATAAAGGGTGTCTGTACTAGGTGTTGGGATGGCGTGATAAAGGGTGTCTGTACTAGGTGTTGGGATGGCGTGATAAGGGCGTCTGTACTAGGTGGTGGGATGGCGGTAAGGGGTGTCTGTACTTTAGGTGTTGGGATGGCGTGATAAAGGGTGTCTGTACTAGGTGGTGGGATGGCGTGATAAGGGTGTCTGTACTGAGTATTGGGATAGCGTGATAAAGGGTGTCTGTACTAGGTGTTGGATGGCGTGATAAAGAGGTGTCTGTACTAGGTGTTGGGATGGCGTGATAAGGGTGTCTGTACTGAGTACAGGACTAGCGTGATAAGGTGTCTGTACTAGGTATTGGGATGGCGTGATAAAGGGTGTCTGTACTAGGTGTTGGGATGGCGTGATAAAGGGTGTCTGTACTAGGTATTGGGATGGCGTGATAAAGGGTGTCTGTACTAGGTGTTGGGATGGCGTGATAAAGGGTGTCTGTACTAGGTGTTGGGATGGCTAGGTGTTGGGATGGCGTGATAAAGGGTGTCTGTACTAGGTGTTGGGATGGCGTGATAAAGGGTGTCTGTACTAGGTATTGGGATGGCGTGATAAAGGGTGTCTGTACTATGTATTGGGATGGCGTGATAAAGGGCGTCTGTACTAGGTATTGGGATGGTGTGATAAAGGGTGTCTGTACTAGGTGTTGGGATGGCGTGATAAAGGGTGTCTGTACTAGGTGTTGGGATGGCGTGATAAAGGGTGTCAGTACTAGGTGTTGGGATGGCGTGATAAAGGGTGTCTGTACTAGGTGTTGGTGGATAAAGGGCGTCTGTACTAGGTATTGGGATGGCGATAAAGGGTGTCTGTACTAGGTGTTGGGATGGCGTGATAAAGGGTCTGTACTAGGTATGGCGTGATGAGGTGTCTGTACTAGGTGTGGGATGGCGTGATAAAGGGTGTCTGTACTAGGTGTTGGGATGGCGTGATAAAGGGTGTCTGTACTAGGTATTGGGATGGCGTGATAAAGGGTGTCTGTACTGTACTAGGTGGTGGGATGGCGTGATAAAGGGTGTCTGTACTAGGTGTTGGGATGGCGTGATAAAGGGCGTCTGTACTAGGTGTTGGGATGGCGTGATAAAGGGTGTCTGTACTAGGTATTGGGATGGCGTGATAAAGGGTGTCTGTACTAGGTGGTGGGATGGCGTGATAAAGGGTGTCTGTACTAGGTGGTGGGATGGCGTGATAAAGGGTGTCTGTACTAGGTGGTGGGATGGCGTGATAAAGGGTGTCTGTACTAGGTGGTGGGATTTACTGTTTTGTTTCAGACTGAGCCTGGTTGATTTGTTCCCTTTCACTAGTTTCCTAAGAATGTTTTAAACAACTGGTATTAATGATGTTTTATGTATTACTGAAGTGTTTGGTGTTATCAGGAAATTATATGGTGGATGATAAAGTGCAAATAAATGAATGGATCTTGAAGCCTCAAGTATACAGTTTCGATCTACACAATAATTATATCTGTTATGGCTGTTGAGACACAATTATCTCATTTTGTATCGGGAAATATTCAATATCAATAAAGTAATACAAGAGTAAAGAGGAAAACTAACCAGAATATTATATTGTACATTTTTATTGCAAATATCTGATACACTGGCGGCCTCAAAGACGTTGTATTGTCGTACAGTGAGCTGCCAGGTTATCAACATACCCAGCGTTGCCAGGCGTATCACACGCCAGCCTCGTGTCATACACTAGCAGCGGCGCCAAAATAAACACACAAAAGTGATAAGGTAATGGCGTTGCATATTATACTTCTTCTCCTAATGTACAGTTTATACTTACACACTCAATCAGATTCTCTGAGACATAAATATTATGTATAGTTAATAATGATTGTATATTCAACACGTGTGTTATTTAGATTATCAAGCATAAAACGATGATTTAGAGACCAGAACACATTACTCCAGCAGCTGTGAAGGTTCATGTGGCAAGTAATTGAGGACGATCTTCCAGCCAGTAATTTGAGGGTTCTTGGGGTAAACAGTCTGTCAGTACCTGTCGCATCACCGGCCATATCTGTCATTTCAACGTCACTGTCAAATGTCAACATCAGTGTCATAACCAATAAGAGTCTACATATCTTTGGAGTCTAAATGGGCTTGTGTTGTTGTATTATTTTTTGTTTATTTTCAAGGATGAACACTGGAGGAGGAGGTACTGGCGAGGTTTAACATAGTTTGGGATAAGAGGATTGTAGATAGTTGGTCATGAAGTGAAGAGGAAGACGGTGGGTGGGTGGTCAGGTGGGAGATGATGAATAAGGGTGTGGGGAAACGACGGCTAGGTTGATCACAGTGGAGGGGGTGTGAAGGCGATACTTGAGCAGATAATGAGAGAGGAAGAGTGAGCGAGGGAACTTGACACAGATAGTAGTGGTGGTGGTAGTAATGGAAGTAGTGAGAGGGTTGTTGAAGTGCCAGCGTTGGATCGTGGTAGATGGTGGTAACACTGAAGTAGCATGGCACTTGGTCCAGCCCTGGCACCAATCAACACAGGGTATCACAATTGGTAGGTTGTCCCTTGTGGTAACACCGTCTCTGGGTACCAAACCGAATTATCACCCCTAAAGATCATGTAATTCCGTCTAGTTATTCACCTCTACAGTAATTCTTGCTTTTAAACAAATTCCGTCTATAGCAATTGGTCGTGTTATGCTTGGAGACGGGTTAAGAAGAATTACGAGATCGAAGGAAGAATCTTAGTCTGTTTGAAGACCTTGAGGATGCTGTCGTGGCGGCGTCCTATAGGGTGGTATAATATCTCCCAGGCTAACTCGCGAACACTACAGTGACACCTTAACTCGGTCTCCCTCCCTCCCACCTCTCTCTCCCTGATGGTTCGTGTTGGGTCTGTGTTACGTGTCTACCATCCCCCCCCCCCTTAGTACTGTAACACCCATCACTCACCACTAAACTAGCATACATATGTGTTCTGGAGATGACACTGGTCTATTCCTCAATGAAGTTTACACATAGATGGTGAGTTATTATCTGAGTTGACATGTTGCAGTGATGGTGGTAGTGTCAGATGGGGGTAAGTGGTGGTGTCAGAGAGGGGTAAGTGGTAGAGGAGTCAGATGGGGGTAAGTGGTGAGGGTGTCAGAGAAGGTTGAGTGGTGGTGTCAAAATGGTAGTGAAAGGAGTTGTCAGACGGGGGTAACACTGTGGTGGGGGTGTCAGATGGACGTAAACAATGGTGTCAGATTGGGTAGGGTGTCTGATGTATGGTGAACGGATGAGGATGAAAGAAGAGAAACGACAAACCTTGGGAAGGGCTCAGATAGCCTAAGGGAAGGAAGGAAAGAAGGAAGGAAGGAAGGAAGGAAGGATACTGAACTTACTGGAACACAAGTCCTTAAGGCTCTGTAAAGTTCCTTGAAGTTCCGTAAAAAGATGAACGATGCAAATTTGTTTACCCTTTGCTCACAAGCTCCAAAAAATAGTTCACTGTTGTAGAGAAGTTCCATTTTCCAAAGTTCATTCGGTGTGAAACGATAATTAATTACTGACGGATTTTTGCCATTTAGATCAAGTTCCTCTTTGGCTTAAATGACGTCAAAATCTGTTTACGAGTTGTCCGTTAATGAGTCACTAATGCAAATGACGTAATTAATCATTTGACCTCAAGACTAATATAGCGGGAGTCGATTCATATTCCAAATGTTGTTTTTGTTTTTGTTGTTAGTCTGTGCTGTTGTTGTTGTCATTAGTCTGTATTCTGTTCGTCTGTGTTATGGCTTCTGTTGTGTGTTGCTGTTTTGTTGTTGTTGTTGTTGTTAGTCTGTGCTGTTGTTGTTGTCATTATTCTGTGTTTTTGTTCGTCTGTGCCCTGGCTGTTGTTTTTGTTGTTGTTGTTATTCTATGTTGTCATTATTCTGTGCTTTTGTTCACCGTTTGTGTTCTCGCTGCTGGTGTGTGTGTGTGTGGTCTCTACATCTTATAGGGCGTCCCCGTCCCTTCCCTCACAGATACGAAGGCGGGTGTCGGTGCTTCAGTTAGACGCTTCATCAGTTGTGGATTTCCTGCTGAGAGACAAAACAACACGGGTTAGGTAATGTAATGTTAAACTGGTATGATTTTATTCACCTGTTTTATATTTATTCATACGTAAAATTATGAAATAGCAATAAACAGGATACGTGCACACACACACACACACACACACACACACACACACACACACCTCTTCCGCTCTCACCTTCATCGTGCAGTGACTTAAAACTACAGGTGGTGAAGAAGACCTACCTGACGCAGCGGTAGATGTCAGGTACGTCGACCAGGAGACAGATAACGGAGTCACCCACAAGGAGCGTCGCGGGCATGTCACTGTCGTCAGCTACAGGAGGAGGAAGGGGTCACGTGTTCATCAAGTGGTGTCAAGGGCGGGAGGCGGGGAGGGGAGGGAAAGGGGAAGGAAAGGGCAGGGGAGATGCATGTTATATCACGTCAAAAATGGTTTTAAATACATTCCAATTTATTCATTAATTAGACGAAGAGAGAGTGAAGAGAACAGATAAAGTGAAGAAGGTAAAACGATAAATAGATGAACAGAAGAAAGTATAAGACAGATTGAGAAACAAAAAGGAAGGTAGATAAACTAAAATAACAGACAGACAGAGAAACAGACAGACAGACAGGCAAACAGACAGACAGACAGACATATGGTTAGAGTGTGAGAGGAGAAGAAGAACGCAAAACGATAGATAACATGAATTGAAAGTAAGAATAATTTAGAAGAACACAAAGAGGAATGTAGATAAACCAGGATAACAGACAGACAGACAGAGAAACAGACAGACAGACAGACAAACAGACAAACAAAAGCCTCACCTTCACCATTCATGACTGGGGTGAACTCAGGCTCTGCTGCAGGGGCGGGGCCAGACCTCTTACCATACCTGGAGCCTCCGATAAACCGGGAGGAGCGGATCTTAATTTCAGGTAGACCCTGGGATGGTGAAGAGCGTCCGTTGCGGTTGGCGTAGAAACCTGACCGTACTGGGGGAGGGGGAGAGAGGGGCGGGGGGAGGGGGTGAAGAAGGAGAGGGGAGGAGAGGAGAGGGGGAGAGACAAAACCGTGAAAATACAGTATCATTAAAGTAACTCATATATTCTTACAGGTGAAAGTATATAATTACAGGTGAAGATGCAGGTACAGGTAAAGTTACAATTACAGGTACAGAGGTTAAATACACTATACAAAAATTCAATAGGAAAAATTACTTATACAGGCATACCATAGAGGCCTATATAGAGAGATACAGTGGTGAAAACAACCTGTATTTAGTGAAGTCAGTAGTAAACATAAACCTGTATTTAAGGAATCTACAATCGTGAAATCATCTTGTGTTTGGTGAAAGCAGAAATCCAGTAACGAGGTGTGTGTGTGTGTGTGTGTGTGTGTGTGTGTGTGTGTGTGTGTGTGTGTGTGTGTGTGTGTGTGTGTGTGTGTGTGTGTGTGTGAACAGAGGAAGAAAGAAGAACACCAAAAAATTCTCCCCCTCTTCCCACACCAACCATGTTTAAGCTCTCATGGGATCTCATCGACCTCACCTTTTTCCTTCTATTCTTTCAAACTATTAACGTAATTAGCCTCACCAGAGAACGTTTAAGAGGCCGGAGGGAAACACAATAATGCTTGGTGTTCTCTGGCCTCTGATGGGCGCCACGAGACACGGAGAAGGTGCCGAAGGAGTGGTATACTTAGCTGTATTAAGATGTGGTTTCACTGGTATACGGAGGGAGGGCGTGGATTTTACGTGATGAATACAGAAAGAAAGACAGATAAGAATGTGTGTGTGTGTGTGTGTGTGTGTGTGTGTGTGTGTGTGTGTGTTTGTGTGTGTGTGTGTTGGCGGTGATGGTACCTGAGGGGTCGTCAACAAACTACCCACGACCAATCAGCTTAAAGGATCAAGAAGAATAGACTGACCAGCGATCGGCACTACTACTACTACTACTACTACTACTACTATCAACACCATTCCTAACTATTACCACTACTATCACTATCAATACCACTACCCATACCATTATCGATACCATTACACTACCACTCACAACACTACCACATCTACTACCATTACCACCAAAACCACCACAAGTAGACCAATAAATTCATCTTTCTAATCAACTGCCACATTTTCACCCACACTCCCCACCCACCCCTACCCCCTACCTCCCATCTTCCCTACCACCTCCCACCTCCCCTCCCACCCACCTTCCCAGACCCCACTCCCCCCACCTCCATTCCCCTACCCACCTCCCATCTTCCCCCCACCTACCTCCCATCCCTACCTACCTCCCATCTTCCCCTACCACCTCCCATCTTCCCTGCCTCACTCCCCCTTACCTCCTCCCATCTTCCCTCACCCACCTCCCATCTTCCCCTACCCCATCTTCCCTACCACCTCCATCTTCCCCACCACCTCCCATCTTCCCCACCACTCCCATCTTCCCCACCTACCTCCCATCTTCCCCTCACCCCCTCCCATCTTCCCCTACCCACCCCATCTTCCCTACCCCTCCATCCCCCCATCACCTCCCATCTTCCCCTACCACTCCATCTCCCCTACCTACCTCCCATCTACCCTCCCCACCTCCCCCTCCCCATCTTCCCTACCTACCCCATCTTCCCCTACCTAACTCCCATCTTCCCTACCCCTCCCCATCTTCCCTACCCACCTCCCATCTTCCCTACCTACCTCCCATCTTCCCCTACCTAACCCCATCTTCCCCTACCTACTCCCATCTTCCCTACACCTGCTCCCCATCTTCCCCTACCTATCTCCCATCTCCCTCCACCTCCCATCTTTCCCTACCTCCCCATCTTCCTACCTCCCACCCACCTCTCCCATCTTCCCTACCACTCCCATCTTCCCTACACATCTCCCATCTTCCCCTACCCATCTCCATCTTCCCCACCTATCTCCCATCTTCCCCACCCTATCTCCCATCTTCCCCTATCTCCCATCTTCCCTACCCATCTCCCCATCTCTCCTCCCATCTTCCCCACCATCTCCCATCTTCCCTACCTACCTCCCATCTTCCCTCCCATCTCCCATCTTCCCTCTTCCCTACCTATCTCCCCATCTTCCCTACCTACTCCATCTTCCCCTATCTCCCATCTTCCCCTACCTATCTCCCATCTTCCCCTACCTATCTCCCATCTTCCCCTACCTATCTCCCATCTTCCCCTACCTATCTCCCATCTTCCCCTACCTACCTCCCATCTTCCCCTACCTATCTCCCATCTTCCTACTCGTGTTCCTTAGGTAAACCTATGAACCTACAGTCGCAATATACATATAAATAGGTTGTTTAGATTGTCAAAGAGTCTAACAACAGCAAGAGAAAATAACCTCTGTGAGTCTTACGTGTGTTGGGAGGGGATAGGAGGGTGGGTAGGTAGGAGGGATAGAAGGATGGGTAGGTCAGACAGATAGGAGCGTCGGAATATAATTTGTCCATTGGTCGTTTAATTCTATTGATTCAAGGGTGATAAAGGGTAGGTGGGTGTGGTGTGTTTGTAGAGCCGAGGAGGAGGAGGAGGTGAAGAAGAAGAAGAAGAAGAAGGAGGAGGAGAAGAAGAAGAAGAAGAAGGAGGAGGAGGAGAGAAGGTGATCCAAAGGTAAATGACGACTCTCTCTCTCTCTCTCTCTACATACAGACCAAGCCGTAAAGGTGACGTCATCGCCCAATACTGAACTGATGGAAATTTACGGTGTGTGTGTCTGAGTGCGGGGGGGGGGGAAGGAGGCATGGAGAGAAGATGAGAGAGAGAGAGAGACCGGAAATCCCCTTATGACCCCTGACTGACCCTAATTACCCCTCCTCTACTCACCTGTTACCTCGCCTGTGTCACTTCGTTTGCCGTAACGCTGGGTGTAGAAGCCCTGGGCGGCAGTGAGAGCCAGGAGGGCAGCAAGCATCACCAGGGTGGGGCAGATGGTGCGGCTCATCTGTGGCGAAAAAGGTCACAGCCAGGTCAACCCAGGTCAAAGGGCATTATCACAGTGTCAGGGGTTAATTGGTCTCCAGGTCTACCCAGGTTAAAGTTCATTATCACAGTGTCAGGGGTTAATTGGTCTCAGGTAAACCCAGGTCAAAGGCCATCATGGTGTCAAAGGTTAATTGGTCTCAGGTCTACCCAGGTTAAAGGTCATTATCACAGTGCCGGGGATAAAAGGTCAACCCAGTTCAGAGGTCATCACAGTGTCATGTTAAAAATCACCTCCCAACCAGGCCATACTTCACCCCCAAAGAGACAGGTTAAAGTCATTAGTGGAAGAGGTCAAAAGTAATTAATCTCAAAGGTCATCAAGTATAATTAATTGGAGTCAACATAATACAGAGAGATGAAGACTTTACACTTTAGCAACACCACTGATAAAGGTGTACAATGATAACACTCATAAAATGTACAATAGGTCTTATATCTTTTCACATAACTATATAAGTCATTATATTCCTTAACAACAAGAACTGGAGCTATTGTATACTGAGCACTACCCTCACCCCCTCCGCTGCTGCTGCCCCCTCCACCCACTGCTGCCCCCCGCTGCTGCTACACACCGACACCCCTCTTGCTGCCCCTCCACCCACTGCTGCCCCTCCACCCGCTGCCTCCTGCTGCTGCTACACACCACACCCCCTCTGCCCCCCCTCCACCCACTGCTGCCTCTCTGCTGCTACACACCCACACCCCTCTGCTGCCCCCTCCACCCACTGCTGCCTCCGCTGCCTACACACCCACACCCCTCTTGCTGCCCTCCACCCACTGCTGCCTCCTCCACCCCATCGCTGCCCCCCCCGCCGATAATGGTTATTACTCTGAAATTACGTAACTCACCAACGCCCCCTCACAACACCCGCCATACAAGAGTGAGTGACATACAGTACTACCTACCTTCGCGTCACACCTGAAATCAATCCAATTAGTCGATAAACAAACTTACCTGATGTCAGAATCTGACACAAAGCAGACGGACACATCAACAACATTCCCCCCAAAAAATCCTGATACCTTCTAATTCCCATATCCTAAAGAGTCCTACGAAGGATTTTTCTCAATTTAAAACAGATAGGAACTCTCTCTTCCCAGGACCAGTCACTTAAAGATTCCATCCCTTCCTCCCGCCACCCCTTCCTTCCCCTCTGCCATCCTCCCTCCTTCCTTCATGCACCCTCCACAGTTAGCTTGGTTTCTCTGCTCCAGTTATTACCAAGGAACTGTCACTTAGCTTTACCTCAGGGTAACCCCCTGGCACTACTAGCGAGGAGGAGTAGGAGGGAAGTACGTAGAGGATGTGGTAGAGGAATAGGAGTAGGGTGAGGGAAGGAAGTAGGTAGAGGAGGAGGAGACCCGAGGGAAGTGTAGGAAGAGAAGGAGACAGAGGAGGTGAAGGAACGTAAAATGATGGGACAACGATGACGAAGACAAAAGAAAGAGGAAGGAAATGATGATGATGAGGAGGAGAAGGAAGACTAAGAAGAAAAGGAGGAGAGAAGGGAGAAAGAAGGAAAATAAGAGAGAGAGAGAGAGAGTGCTTGCTGAAATCAGTCAATGTTGAGGACAGCAGTTAAGCTCCCACACTTGTTGACTGGGATCGCTATAATACCTTGTCAAGTGGCCACTCATACTAAAATCATCCTGTTGACCCGTTGAGATAACAACTGAGTGCACGCACACACACACACACACACACACACACACACACACACACACACACACACACACACACACACACACCCACACACACACACACACCCACACACACACACCCACACACACACACACACACACACACACACACACACACACACACACACGCGACCTTTCTGTCAACTTTCGTATTTGCTTCTCGTTAATGTGACTTTGGCTTCAGGACTGATGATTCGTACTGGCGTCTTGTCAAACCTCAAGCTACTAAGGAGTGTGTGTGTGTGTGTGTGTATGTGTGTGTGTGTGTGTGTGTGTGTGTGTGTGTGTGTGTGTGACTGTTAGTGATTGTGGTGATAGCGGTGTTGAGAGAGAGAGAGAGAGAGAGAGAGAGAGAGAGAGAGAGAGAGAGAGAGAGAGAGAGAGAGAGAGAGAGAGAGAGAGAGAGAGAGAGAGAGAGAGAGAGCATAACAAACAGACAGACTCCCACCCTCAATTAACTTATAAACATCACCATCTTGCTGACACTCCCCATATCACCTGTCTATAAGTCCCCTGGCCAATCAAAAGGCACGTAATGTCAGATCCTCCCCTGTTCTCCTCCTCTGATTGGTCGTATATTGCCTGTATGTGAGGGACATGAGAGAAACATAACATTCTCCCCTGCTAACTCGTGTTTAATGGACACACACACACACACACACACACACGAGCGCAAGTTAACCCTGTATTGTGAGAGAGAAAGGGTCAGGTGGAGCTCTCTCTCTTTTTCTCTCTATCTATCTATCTTTGTCTCTCACTCTATCTTTATTTTTGAATGACTCAGTTTCAGTTAACGACCATCACTGATCTGGTCATTCTCCAATTCTAATTCCTTCCTAATTCAGGTTGTGTATGACAGCCACTCTAAGAGATTGGCCAATCCTGCCTCGTTAGTCAAGTCTGTTTTCTGCTTCTCCTTCCTCGAGGACAAAGATTTTTTTTTCTTCAATTTTTAAGTCGAAGTGATGTCAGAATGAGAACTTTTATTTAAGAAGTATAAAGACATCTAGGACAGAGACAACACTCCCCCAGGAAGCATCTCCTCAATAACTTGTTGGCAAAAAAAAGTGTTTCACCCCGGCCTTAGTTTGGTGAAGTTATTTACATATCAGTGTGACAACCAACCTGCCATTTTACTATAATGTGAATCATCTAACAGTGAGGAAAGCAAGATGTAGTTGTGAGGAAAGTATAGGATCCAAAGGCCTGGTGTTCAGTGTGGGAGGTACGGCACTATATACACTCCAGATTCGAACCAGTGACCATTGGGACAAGCATCGAGTGCTGTATCTGAACGACAACTTTTATATTGGATAGGTTTAATATTTTCCCTAAAAATTTTTGCAAGTGGAAATAGTGAGGGTGAGGCCAGTGGACATCCCTGGGACACAAATTCAAAGGAGATAAAAGCAAGAATGACAGTCAAGGTGGAGAGACTGTACACAACCTGATATATGACATACACCAAGAAATCCTCCCGAGCATCAAGTAAACTCCAGGATGGTGGATAAAACTACGCAAATCGGCAATGTATAGAGACAACTGGCTAGCGAAGAGAGGGATAGCGCGGGAGCTACAGTTAACCTCACACAAAAAAAAACAACGAATTACAGAGAGAGAGAAAACGTAAAAGTAGACAAAAACAGCGAATACAACAACACAGATTCAAGAAAAGAACTAGACAGAGGTGGTGGTCGGAGAGTACCCTGATAGTCGGAGATCACAACGGAGCAAGAGCGATGAGTGCCAACGAGATGAGGAACAAGAGGAGATAATTATGACCTGGTAGCATACGTCTGGCAGCTCAGGATGTGTTGCTATTTTAGTACAGATCAGCAGCACAACAACAACAAGGTCTTCAATCGAGCTTTCTGGGTAAATAAATACACTAGTCATCAAGAACTAAAGATTAATAGAGTTGATATATCTCTCTGGTTGTGTAGAGAGAGAGAGAGAGAGAGAGAGAGAGAGAGAGAGAGAGAGAGAGAGAGAGAGAGAGAGAGAGAGAGAGAGAGAGAGAGAGAGAGAGAGAGAGAGAGAGAGAGAGAGAGAGAGAGAGAGAGAGAGAGCAGACAATGACCCATCTTCCTATTTCGAATCTCATGATATCTCTTTCATATCTAACAAAATAATAAACAACAATTTCTTCAACTAATATAGACAAGTCACAACCTATTCTCCTAGACCACAACCAATTAGGATAATCTGCTACCTCTGTTTACCAGCGATGGGGGACAATAGGTCTTGGTGGACGGGGGCGCCTCGGAGGACAATTGACTCAATGGCCCAGTAGGGAGGTGGCACTAGGGCTTTTTGTTTACCTGAGATGGAACACACACACACACACTCACACACACACACACACACACACACACACACACACCAACTCTCTCTCTCTCTCTCTCTCTCTCTCTCTTTTCAGGAAGGCGATAGGGAAGATTTTTTTTACCTGAATAGAAAGTTTAGGTAAGATCCCTCTCCATACTTAACAGTGAGTTACTTGTCCTGAGTGGTAGCATCGATTCCTGCCTCTCTGGGTGATATACATTTAACAGAGGCAATAAAGAAGGAAGGAAGGAAGGAAGGAAGGAAGGAAAAGAGACCACAGCCACAACGGACCCATACAGTACCTATAGACAGAAATAAATCCGGATTTATAACACGAACGCTGCCCGAATCTTTGTTGTGTTCCTGACAAGCTACAAATACGGATTCTAGCATCAACTGTCTGGTCTTGGCGCCATATATTATCACACACAGGCTGAGATAAGGCAGTTGTGTGTCGCTTCCTACGGGGATCAGACGTGTGAATACTATAAACAGACACTAGGAATGTTTGAGGCGTTCTAAATGTTCTCCCACTGGTGAATGATAAAGATCATTCATACAATCTGTGACGTAACACTGAAATATGTAAATTCTTGAGTCCTAAATCCATTATATAAACTATTCAATCCTACAGATGAAATTATACAAACAAAATCTAAGAATGTGATGTATAAATGCTTACGTGTTATATAAATTATCAATAGGGCTGAGATATAAACATTCTGAATAACAAATTGCGCTTTTGTCAATTGGGTTTCCGTTTTTTTTTGTCGCGGGTATGGTGAATGGTGAGGCGACAACACTATAGAGAGGCAGTAAAGGAAGACTCGTTGTTGACACTGAAATGAGAGATCTCCATCATGTGACGAGTGGCCGCGTTTCACTGCTCAGGAGGAAATCAGTGGGTGTGTTCTGCTGCCCATAACATTAGTGCGTGCGTGTGTGTGTGTCTCAAGACCTACCCATAGAGGCTTACAACAGCACATATAACACAAGACGTAGAGCCACGGTCTTAATACTTCTCAAACCTCAAGTGATTATTACACGATGCGAGTATCTCTCTCTCTCTCGCTCTCTCCAGCTTCACAAACTACAACTTCTTCACAGTAATGGTCATCGTGAGTGATTGCTATGGTTCGATCCCTCACATTACCTGACCCCTTACAGCACCTGTACCCTTACATTACCTAACCCCTTACATCACCTATCCCCTTACATCACCTGACCCCTTACATTACCTGACCCCTTACATCACCTGTCCCCTTACATCACCTGACCCCTTAAATTATCTGTCCCCTTACATCACCTGTCCCCTTACATCACCTGACCCCTTAAATTATCTGTCCCCTTACATCACCTGACCCCTTACATTACCTGTCTCCTTACATTACCTGACCCCTTACATCACCTGTCCCCTTACATCACCTGACCCCTTACACTAACCCCTAGACACTGGAGGTAAACATTTCTCACATAAGTTCACTATACATCACATTAACACTGGTGGTGAGAACAAACAAGTCTTCAGATCTGCTCCCTAATGAACCTGCTGGGGATGATACCGATGTCTAAGGTTCGTCAGGTAGGTCTTTTGCTCTTCTCCTTAAAGCGTCCCTAAAACTCGTCCAAAGGCCTCGACTTCCCCACTACAAACTCCCCAAATGCGATCCAGTATTGATAAGGAAGAACCAAAGTCTCCCAACATTATCAAGAACTGTTAGAACGTTAAAATTCTTGTCTAAAAATCGAGAACCTACTTTGGATGTTGTGTTGGTGATGGTTGGCGACGGAGAAGAGGAGGAGGAAGGCTGCGGCGTGAGGATGGATCACCGCTGAGTGTGGTATGGGACGTTCCAGCCATCTGCTTTCCTCTTATACCCAGCCGTCGCGCGCGCAAACACAGAACACTACCACCACCACCATCAATACACCCCCCCCCCCATCCCTTCCCAGACGGCTGTTCCTCCCACACTTCGATGAAATAGGGGAAAACATTGACCACGTCTTTCATTACTGCAGATCGATTTTAACACCAGGATGTACAAGTAAACAAAACAATTCTCTTCCTTCATTATTTCATCGACGTAGTTTGATCAGATTTCCATGATTATAACTTGGTTGGGTTTGTTAGTGATTGATCAGTTTGAGGGCTACGTACTTTGATCACAGGTTTGGTGATTTTGTGATCGATTTTGGGAAACGGGGTATTTTTTTTTTTTTAGTCCAGTGTCCATCTGTGTCTCAGGAGTTTAAAGAGACGGTCAGGATAATAATGTTGGTGACAAGTTACTTTGCATAATGGATTTGTTGTTAAATAATAATAATAATAATAATAATAATAATAATAATAATAATAATAATAATAATGAAAAATAAAAATATAATAATAATGAACAGATTTATAAGAGCACCATACCACATCACCATAATATGTCACTATCACAAGTCACCATTGCACATCACCACCACACGTCACCACCTTACGTCATCACGTCACCATAACACGTCACCATAACGTTACTAGTCAGGTAAGCACCCAGTAGAATATTTGACATTTATGAACGATATGCTAAGGTAGAGAATTGTTCCAGTGAGGGAGGAAAGGTGTGGGTGGGAGGGTGGGTGGGCGTGTGGGTGGGTGTGTGGGTGGGCGTGTGGGTTTGTGTGTGGGTGGGTGTGTAGGTGGACGTTTAGGTGGGCGTGGGGAGTCGACGTTCTTTTGCCACGCCCACCCGAGACACAAGCCAAGCGAGGGTCGTGAGAACAAACGAACTCTCAGACAGCTACTTAAAAACAGTCACAGTGTGTACGTCAAGAATCATAGTATGTACATCAAGAATCGTAGTGTGTACCTCAAGAATATTAGTGTGTACATCAAGAATCGTAGTGTGTACGTCAAGAATCGTAATGTGTACGTCAAGAATCGTAGTATGTACGTTAAGAATTATAGTGTGTACGTCAAGAATCGTAGTGTGTACGTCAATAATCGTAGTGTGTACGTCAAGAATCACAGTGTGTACGTTATCAGCCACAGTGTGTACGTCAAAAATTAGTTTGTCCGTCATTAATCATAGTGTGTACGTCAAGAATCACATTGTATGCAAAAAAAAAAAAATCAGTGTGTACGTCTAGAATCACAGTATGTACGTTATCAGCCACAGTGTGTACGTCTAGAATCATAGTGTGTATTCTGTTATATGATTTACATAACAGGAACAACACCTGGAATTTATCAGTAAAAAAATAAAAACAAGAATCGCGAAAATTTAAACTTGGTGACTTTAGCCAGAATGAATCTATTTGCAAGTGACACCCAGGAGAGGAAGAACGGCTCTGTATATTAGGTTATAGAGGCCCTGCTGTGTGTGTGTGTGTGTGTGTGTGTTTCAACAAGTCACTTACACCAACGAATTACAACAATAACAAAGGTAAAGAAGGCACTCGAGTTAATTAATGAAATCTACCTGGTCGAGATGGCAGGTGTTGAGATGAATACTTGGAAGAACAAAGATAGGTAGCGTGAGAACAAAGATAGGTAGCGTGGGAACAAGATAGGTAGCGTGGGAACAAAGATAGGTAGCGTGGGAACAAAGATAGGTAGCGTGGGAACAAAGATAGGTAGGCGTGGGAACAAAGATAGGTGGCGTAAAGAACAAAATAGGTAGCGTGGGAACAAGATAGTGGCGTGAAAACAAGATAGGTAGCGTGGGAACAAGATAGGTAGCGTGGGAACAAAGATAGGTAGCGTGGGAACAAGATAGGTAGCGTGGGAACAAAGATAGGTAGCGTGGGAACAAAGATAGGTAGCGTGGGAACAAGATAGGTAGCGTGGGAACAAGATAGGTAGCGTGGGAACAAGATAGGTAGCGTGGGAACAAAGATAGGTAGCGTGGGAACTATATGGGTACTGTGTGAAACTTTAATAATCTGTGAAGAAAAAAAATTATTCGGGAACTTTATCTTAAAAATCTTGTAAAATGCATAACATAACATCGTTTTTGTGTTACTAAAATTAAATACAAATCGAATGCGGCCGCAAATTCACTTTTATTTGAAATGGACAAATATCCAGTGTAAAAATAATGATTAGGAATTATTATTGAAGTAGATTGTGTATATTTCAGTATATATAAATCCCCGATGTCAGATAATTCGTTAATTGATTTTTTGTTAAACAGAAACTGAGGATAAAATTATTTCCATTGTAAAAATTTAGTTAATGTAATTTTCTGTATTTTAATGAGATAATACTGAAGACCGCGACGACACGCTATTAACGCCACAGTGGACCTACAGTAACCTCCTACAGCCAACACACATACTCCTGTACGTAAGCTATGCACCCAACACACATACACTCCTGTACGTAAGCTATGCAACCAACACACACTCCTGTACGTAAGCTATGCACCCAACACACATACTCCTGTACGTAAGCTATGCACCCAACACACATACACTCCTGTACGTAAGCTATGCAACCAACACACACTCCTGTACGTAAGCTATGCAACCAACACACACTCCTGTACGTAAGCTATGCACCTAACACACACTCCTGTACGTAAGCTATGCAACCAACACACACTCCTGTACGTAAGCTATGCAACCAACACACACTCCTGTACGTAAGCTATGCAACCAACACACACTCCTGTACGTAAGCTATGCAACCAACACACATACACTCCTGTACGTAAGCTATGCAACCAACACACACTCCTGTACGTAAGCTATGCAACCAACACACACTCCTGTACGTAAGGTATGAGGAATTAGAATAAAAGAAGACAAACTTTAATTATTTTCTTGATAGCTTTTAGGGACGAAAAACATAACATCTTCCATTATCTATACGCAAATATTCCCTCTCTCTTGTCCCCTCCTCTCTCCCTCGCCCCTTCCCTCTCCTCGACCCCCTCCCCTCCATCCCTCTCCCTTTTGCCTCCCTCACTTTTTCCCACCGACAGAGCCGCGGGCACACCTACCGTGAACTGATACATCATTACCAACATCTCCTGCACACAATATTTTCAAACCACCATCTTTAAAAATATATTTCGTTGGTGAGAAGCTGGAGGGTGGTAGTGCCAATGATGATACTGAAGGAGTTGTGGTCGATGGAATGAAGGTGTGTTTACCTGTCTGACCTTGATGAGTGATTAAGGTGAGAGAAAGGGTTGAGGTGGGTGTGAGAGGGATTAGAAAGTTGAGGGAGGAAAGTTGATGGATTGGAATAGTGACAGGGAGAAAGGTGATTGATGGAAAGGAAGGAAGGAAGAAGAGGGAGGAGAGGGAATGGAATTTGAGGGAGGAAATTGAATGGAATGGAATAATAAAGAGGAAAGGTGGTGATTGGTAGAAAGGAAGGAAGATAGAGAAGAGGAGAAGGAAGTTGAGGGAGTAAAGCTGATTAAGATGGTTGGTGAAAAGAAATTAGACAGAATGTTACTCAAAAAGATAAACTAAAAAAAAAGGAAAAAAATAAATTAGAAGAGGAATGAAGATGGCAAGTGATAAAAATTAAAACAAAAATGAAGAGAATGAAAGGGGTACTGACAGGAGGGAATAAAGGTAATTAGAAAGAGACAAAGTGATGATACTATTACACTAGATAAAAGAAGAATAAAAGATGGATTATCAATAAACACCTAATAAAATTTGTCAACAAAACCTGATAAACAAACATAAATGGAAGATAAATACGAGAGAGAGAGAGAGAGAGAGAGAGAGAGAGAGAGAGAGAGAGAGAGAGAGAGAGAGAGAGAGAGAGAGAGAGAGAGAGAGAGAGAGAGAAGAATTCCGTAAAGGGATCAGAGAGATTCTTGGCAGGAAAAATACACCATTCAACAAGACACACAGATGATGGACAACAGAGATAAGACGAGGTATCCAATCCACTCACACTAGTCGACAAAATTAAAAATAAATACTCTCAATTTCCTTTACTTATTCTGTATTTATATCTTTATTTGTATTTCCATATATGTGAAATTACCATAAGCTACTTCACAAAGATAATGGTGATGGTGGGTTATTATGGTGTCGAAGTTCAGCTGAGACTATATTACCATTAACCCCCATAAAGTGAAGGGGATAAAAAGGAGAGGACAATAATTTCTGGAAACTCGAAACCTGGAGAAATTGGTCTCATGAAACTCAGGTTACAAAGTGGCCCGGGGTGGAGTGGGGGTGGGGTGGAGTGGGAGTGGGGGGGGTGGGGTGTGGGGTGGAGTGGTGGGGTGGGGCGGCCTTCTTCATCTGATGTTACTGTACAAGGTTTCTTTTATCTCTAACAATTAAATCTTTTCTAAGTTACATTAATCTACACATCCACAAAAAAATGAATAACATGATATTAAGAATTAGAATAAATATATCAGTGAATATTATTTGTCAAAGGATATGAAAAGGAAATTGATGATCCAACTGACAAGAGGAGGAAGAGGAGGGGATGGTAAGTATAGCCTACATAATGTTTTCCTCATGTTGATGCTGTGGTGTTATTTACCTCACATCAATAACTACAAGGTCTAAAAGTGTGTAATAAGGTTAACAATTAAATTAGTCTATCAATATTAAAAAATATGTGTCATCAATATAAACATAGAGGAAGAGCTGACTTTGTTTATACTTGTTTTAAATATTCAGTGGCCATCCCTAAACTTGCTATATGTGAAAGGTCGAGGTAAGACGTTTGTAATTGGCACACTATCTGGCACGTGTTGGCACCTCGCTCAAGTACGGTGTGGTGTGGTTCATAGAGTGGCTGAACATTTGGACTTATTATACATCGTTGCTTCTAATTGTGTATACCTGGGAATAGACGGCGCTGATGA